AACAACCATAGGCCTATACTGCACATACTTTCCCTTATCAGTCATTCAAATGTGATTCATGTTCATGTTATTCTTCCTGTACAGTAGTTGGCCTGTGTTGTAACCGAATAACCATGAGCAATGGCAATAATGTCAACGGACATAACTGTCTACTTCAGTGTTATTATACAATCGATACAATCCAGATATTGAGGAAGTCAAGTTAATAATACTTGAACATTGAATTTGTCTCTTCGGCCAGAGGTAAAATGATTAGTTATGCATATGTTAAAAAGAATAGACAACATACCGGCAAAAACATCTTTCTTGCTTATTAATTTTATGAACGAAGGTTAGGACTAATTCGTAAAATGTGGAACAATCTCTATTCTCTCTTTGTAATTTATTTACATTAAGTGATTGGTGAGATACTTGAATAATGATACCATTATAAAGAATACGGTATGCATTGTAAAAACAGCGTGGAGGGTTTAACCACAAAGCCTCATTGTGCCGCTTTTGGTGACACAGCTAAAAAGGAGTTTAACCACACTTTTTTACCCCTCCTCCCAGTTTATAATATTCAAAAATCTAATCTGTATCTCATTCCGTTCTCGATTTTTTTTGTGTGTGTCTTAAAAAAATCAGTTGTACAATATATCAACATTATTCTTCTGAAGCCTGGCTTTAAGGCATAGCTGAAAGTACCACCAAACAGTGCTCATGCAATCATCTGCTAGTAGGCCTAGAGACAGCAGTAAAATCAGAAAATTTGAAATCTCGATGGTTCTGTTCGATATGACAAGGCGTTTTGACAGAATTGATAGAGTGGTTCTACTTCAAGATATGAACAAAGTTGTATGAACTGAATATAGCTACCATGTTATTAAAACACGTAAAATTAGATGTAAAGGAGTTCTTGGAAAATTTAAGGCAGAAATGGCATCAACACAACGAGATTGTTTTTGGAAAATTTAAGGCAGAAATGGAATCAACACAACGAGATTGTTTCTTACCATCCTTTACTGTCTGTCTCGAAAACGGTCTAAATAAGAACGACAAACATAAAAAAAGATCATAATTATAGCAAATCAAAAATGTAACTTCCGAGAGCTTGCTCCACATCATCTGCGAAACTATAGCTTAAAAAAAACTTTAGGCCTAGATCAGCAATATTTTTATTGATCGAGTTTAAGATCTAGAAAATAAAATAAAAAACATAATTCCAGTCAGAAGAAATCAACCAATCTAAAAAAGAATACTGCAAATCAAGGGATGGGTATGAAACCTGGAAAGCTTGTAAATAATATAGAAGCCTTTTGGATACAGAAAACGATATCACTTAATAAAAAAGAATAAAAAAACATTTTAACAAATAAAATATAGGAAATAAATGAAGAAAGTATGTTTAACACGATATGTCACAAGTTGTTTTTCCACAATAGTGAACTGTGGACCGAAAAGACTACATCGAAAATCGACGCATTTCATCATGATACCCACAATTCAAAACAATTAAATTAAATTGAAAGTGAAGAAATTTGTAGAACAAAAGAAAAAATTCGTTGGATAACATAAGAGGGAGAAGACTATGCTGGTTAGTTCCAAGCTATGGAGGGCCATGCTCTAAAATAGGTTATTTCATTTTTCAAAACTAACAGCAGTAAACACCGCCACTAACTGGTTTTCAGTTAGGCCTATGGTTAAAAACCAAGAGGAAAGCAACATAATAGTATGGATCACAATAATGAATAGAAACTAAAAGAACTACGGTAACCTTCCTGATATCGGAACAATAGAATTAAATGAAACTGCTACAAATTAGATAGATGTGGCAGATATTGTTAAGATATCGTTGAACGCAATGTCATTAAATGGCAGAACGGGGCACTGATGATAATGATGGTGACCATGATTAGGATCTTGACGTGTATATGGCATTTATAGTTCTTACATTTGATATGATACCAAATATCTAATTACAATTAAAGCTAAATACTTCAAGTTCCATTGCAAATTATGTCTAAACATGTTTAGCTTCTGAACCAGCTGTCAATAAACGCGGGCCAAACTTTGTGTTAAAACCATCTTTTAACGGTGTAGAAGTCAGTTAAAAAGTATATTCTGTGTGTTAAAGGGGGGGTGCGGGGATGAGACAAGTGGCCATATATTGCTTATTTAACCTTTCCTGAGTTCGGGAAAAATACTTAAAAAATTCAAAATGTTGAGATGTAAGGATAATTACAGAAACAAAACATGATATGATGAGACAGGAAAATCAGGTGAAAACGAGGCTGATCACTTTTTTCAGTAGCTTGGTAGCATTTTCTAACCAACTCATTAATATTCAAGACAAGTCTGTCAATTAATTTTTGGCGAGCAGCTGATCGAAAAATCGTCCCGACGATCGAGCGACTAGCCTAGATATAGTACACTAGTGTGAAGTCGTGAGTTTTTGTGATCGTTTACGTACGCAGTTACAGAGAGACGGTTTAGTCAACGTCAATTCAATCATGGAGGAATAATTCAATTGAATTAATAAACGTATATCAGTCCGATGATTTGACTTGTTTGTTTACAAGTCCTACACCTATGCCTAGGATTAGCACAGTCAGTGCTACCCAGCAGCAATAGCGCACTCCTGTCCTGGACACTGCTTCCTGCAGCATGTGAGTTCGCACGTAGCCTTATCCAGGTGACGGTAAAGATAGTAGGTTTCTACTACTAGCCTAGCCTAGACTTGTCATGCCATACCATCTTTGTCACATTAATTGTGCTAGTGCATTTTTTTTCTCATAATAATAGACCTAGCCCCTAGGCCTACTAATAATAGTATACTATAGGCCTGGTCCTATGAAAAACTGTCTAGGCCTAAATGTC